ACATGCTACTTTTTATACTTTGTCTCTGTTGTCTCTATAAGGTGATTGTGGTTTTTAGATTTCTTGCACCGTACGTACGTACGTACAGTACATCACAGAGTATGCTAAACGGCCTCATAAAGGGTATTACAGAAATATGTATTGTATAAAACAGCATGTAAGTAATGTATACGTACCATTGTTTGTATAGATGTAAGCTAAGAAAATTTACGAAAGTATGTATGATACGTAGCAAAACTCGTAAAATTTATCTTTTATGTTATCTCTTTTTAATAGTTAGGCGCTAATCTTGTCCTTTTTTCATGTTGGGTTTAGTATAGTTTATAGGTAAATTTCTTAAAGAATTTCTTTTATGAACTATACATACTTTATTTTCTATACATTACATATTTGCTATATTCTCCCTTATAAGGGTCTGTATTCGCGACTTTAATAATTTGAGTCAAAATATATTAAACAATTATTATGTACATTAATAAAATCTGAAAATGAATATTAGATACATTTGCATTGTAAATAGTAACCTAATTTTATAAATAAAACTCGAATAAATTAAACAATGCTTACCCTAACTGCTAACTAATTAATCACATGAATTCATACTATTTTGTAGAATTTTCAAGATTTTAGACCGGTTAGGGTTATACGTATTAACAGTTCTTTAAATTAATTCTATCAAATAAATCTGTAAATTACGAGTTAACATGATTTCAATCATAGTGATATTACGTATCGGTATACGTATAACCAAATTTGACTGTTTTGTAGAATAAGAAAAAAAATAAGGGAAAATTATATCGAATTTAGTTTGGTTGTTATCATGATATCACTAGATCTACTCTAGTTTCTAGAAATGGTTAGATACGTACTTTGATTTGCTATCTACTTAAGGCGCTGAAGTTGCACCTGACTGAAATTAGCCCCTGAAATTGGATTTTCTTGCATACATTAGTTAGTAATTTTAGGTAAGTTGTAACTCGAAGTAGTTAAGTACAAACTTCAAAGCATAGCAGTGAAAGATTATCGAGAACTGGTGTAACAATATCAACAATATAAAAATTGAAATTTTAATTTCAGCCAATAAAAATTCTTATTGATCAGCCAATAAAAATAAAATTTCTTAACTGAATAATAAGTGCCTTCCGCTACACTCCGGCCATTTCAAGTGATATTTTTTCCTGATTCTTTACGAAAGAATATCGATCTTTGTTAATAATCGCTGTGAATGTAAGAATGTATCCAATAAAAATAATAATAAATCATAATAAATAAAATATAAATTCATACATTATTTAAATTGCAATTTTGACCAAATAGAATTTTGCACATTGATTGTTAAAATTAAAACTAATCTGTTGATTATTTGTGTACAGTATTGACTAAATAGAATTTTACATTCTAATTGTTATCCGTAATTACCTGGAATCAAAAAATATGGTAGAAATTCGTGATGAATTTGAAAAGGTGTTTAATATATATTTAATATGGTTTTTTATATAATAAATCAAATTACTTAAGAATATTTATTTATCTAGCTTGACGACGGTATTCGTAGAAGAAAGGATTCTGTTCGTAATCAAGAAAAGCTTCCAGAACTAGAAGCAACCAAATGGGACCAAAAAGAAGATGTAGAAATTCGTAATGAATTTGAAAAGGTGTTTAATCTGTATATATATATATAATATAGTTTTTTTATTTAATAAAATCAAATCAATTAAGAATATTTATCTAGATTGACGACGGTGGTATTCGTAGAAGAAAGGATTCTATTCGTAATCAAGAAAAGCTTCTCGAATTAGAAGCTATCAAATGGGATCAAAAAGAAGATTTTACTACTTATATAACAAGATTTTGCGGACTTGTTAATGATGCCGGACTGGATGATGCATCTGAGCAACGCAAAGTAGAATTATTTTTGAAATCACTTCCACCCAATCTCAATGATATTATGCAAAAACAAATCCAAAAACAATTTAAGGTTCATAAACCTCTTAATCCAGACTTCCAACCTACTTTAGAGCATTTAATTACAAATGCAACAATTTATATTGACGAAATCAGAAATAAAACTTTAACCAAATCACTCTGCTCGTTAAATGAAGCTGTCCTTAATAATAAGGAGATAGTGTTCCGTTATATAGTTATGTCTTTGGTAATTTTTATAGTATTTTTTGTTCCATATATATTTTTTGACAAACCAGATGATGACTCTATTTTTCGAGATTTTGCAAAATCAACTGAGGATATAGTCTCGAAAATCAATGAAGCCGATCTCCCAGGTACATACAATATTCACATACGATATTAATCTTTTAAGTTAGACATAAACTAAAAATAATGTTAATGGATTCTTTATAGGATCAAACGAAATCATGAAACATACAGTAGAATGTAAAAGAACAGCAAATCTAATTGAAAGAGATCCAGCTTTTAAAAATACAGGTGCTGTAATTGCCACTAAACTTCGAAAATTTGGGGAAAGTGTTATGGAAGCAGGAAATGATCTACAAATAATGTATCGCAAGGGATCTTATGTCTTTGAAACCTTTAAAATTGAAATAAAAACCATGATGGATAGATTTGATATTCAAGAACCTAATAAAGGCGAATTCTTTAAAGAAAGAATTAATAAAATGATTTTAGTGGTTCAAGATTTTAGTAATAAAGTCAAGAAAGCAAAAGATTCTATTTTAGATGCAGAGAATAACCGAGATGGCCTTGAGAAGGAACTTATTAGTGGAATTAGAGAAGCTGAAAAGTTTATGGAAACAACAGGATACTGGAAACCTGATTCTGTTGATTTGAGAAAAGCTGAAGATGGATTAGCTACAGTCAATAACATTTTACTCCATCTTAGAGGAGCAGCTTATCGATTAGATGAGATAATTAAAAACTTGAGAAGATATGAAAATAGTTTATTTGATGTAAATGCAGAATTGGGAAGCATTTTTATTATTACTAAACATGATTTTAATTATTTGTTAAATTCTATTGATGTTTTGCATCGTTATCATCGCCAATTTATGGCAAAAGAAAATAATTAAACTATTACATATTTCAGGGCTATTGAATCTTTCAATAAATTATTTTTGTTATATAAAATGGAATAAGATCTATCTAATAGATCAAATATTAATAGTGATGGTATCATCAATTTTTATGCTAAATTCTGTTAATAATGTTAATAATGTGCTTACACTGTCACATAGTCAAAGGTAAAAAAAAAAACATTCATATATTTATCATTCATTTTCTCGATGCCTATATTCACTAATTAACACGAATGAAATGAATTGAGAAAATTTGCATAATAGTAAACATTAAATAAACTCTAAATCGTTTCAAAATTGATGCGAAATCGAAGAAGTATGTAAATGTATACGTATGTTAACTTTGAAAGTTTTAAAGTATTACGTTACGGGTATGGAAAAGCCACATCAAAAGATCAGGTCGTCCTAATGGTAATCAACCAATGGGGACAACTAGTAACC